GCAATCATCCTTTGAAGTCTCGGTATGCCTAGGAACATGGCCAGAAGCCAGCTTGCCAATGCACACATTGCACATGCATATATATATATATTAAATATATTCGTAGTTAACGATGCGCATCACAAATGCAGTAAAGCTGCGGCACGTGCTTGCACTTGGGCCTCTTCCTTGGGAATGCCTTGCTTCAACAGCGACCTCAAAACCTTTTGGTAGGCACAGCACCGTTTGCTGCGCAAAGCTTCGTGTGGGTCAGCCTCAACCTTTCGGACTTTTCTGGTGGCCTTAGCCTCTACGCTCTCTCCTGCCCTCTTTCTGCTTGCCTTCTGCGCATCCTCAGACTCGGGAGAGTTGTGCTCGTTCTTCTTGGTCTTGGCAGACCTTCCGCGGGCAGTGTCCTTCTTTGGCACTAAAGTCTTTGCGGCCTTTGACTTTGCTTTGGCCTGAGCTGACTTGCCAGCAGGCCTTCCCCGAGCCCTCTTGACTTTCTCAGGCTTAGGCTTAGGCACAGCTTTGGCCTTCCCCTTCGCTTTTGCTTTGGGTTTGGCAGCGGCTTGCTCTTCAGGGGAAATGTAGCCCGATTTCCCCCAACCAGCCGGCGCATCATCCTTGCGTTCTGCCTGCATCATGGAAGAGTCCTTCGTCTCAGCTTCCTGCTTTGGCTTCCTAGCTCGCTTGGAAGGTGGTTCCTCGGGAGCTTTGAGTTCAGGAACTGCTTCTGGCATGGGCTCAACAGGTTCTTCACTCCGGCCTTCAAGTTGGTTCTCTTTGGTCTTGGCGGCCAAAGTCTCTTCCGTAGGGGCCGCTAGCTTCTGAGCTTCAGATTGCACCAGGACCAGGTCAGTCTTGGCAGGCAAAGGCTTTGCACTGGAAGCCTCTGCTTGCGGCAGCTCCGGGATTTTGCCTCCCTGTCCAGCAATCACAGGCACAGTTACTTCATCAGTGGCAGCTGCTTGCGGCACCTTTGGGGTGCAAGACTCCAGGTTCTTCTGGTCAGTCTCGGCAAGAACAATCTTTGCGCTGAAGATCCCTGATTGGGCTGGCTCTGGGATCTCATGGATTTCAGGCTCTTTGTCCTCAACGTTGCCAGGCAGAACCAGGAGATCCTTTCCTCCACAACTCTTGTCACCTTTCTTTTCCAAATCTATCGAAGCACCCTCCTTCAGCTGATCGAACTGGCTCTTCTCCATTTCACTCTCTCTGTCATGCTCTGGTTGGGCTCCACCTTTGAACACTCTGACACAGCTTACCTCTCCATTCTTCACTTCAATCTCTACCTCGGGAAATTGAAGCCCACCATGCTCCTCAGAAGGTTCCCTCTCTTCTGGCTGAGGAACGCTGTCGATTTCCACTGGCTGTGTCTCAGCGGTGTCCATACCTAGGAATAAAGACGATGCTCAGCTATGGCCATATACACAGCACATGGAACATGATCACGCAAACAAGCCACCACTACCGGTCGGGGGTCCCAATGGCGCGGAAGAATTCCTCTTGGCCAACAGTGTTTCCAAGGATCGCTGCAGTTGCTGAAGCTGTTTCAACTTTAGGAGTCGCTGCAGTTTGGCTTGCTCTACCTGAAGGACCTCCGCCAACAAGATTCAGAGAAATTACTTGATCTATCTATTGAGCATGAATCACAAACAGCTTCCATGGAGTTCCGAGACTAGTGCCTTGAGTTGTTCAACCTTGGGCGGGGTTTGCAAAGCTCCAAATTCCAATCCTCAATGAAACAGGGTTGTGGCAAGAAGTTGTCAGTGACATTGGTAGATACAAATACCAAGAAAGGCCTAAAAGATATTTTTTGGGGTGCCCTTTTTTGATTGTTTTGGTGTTTAAAAAGGGCCCCCCCCCAAAATAGTATCTTTTAGGGTCTGTTGGCTTGTGTTGGTAGGGTTTCGACTCTTGGCCACCTCCAAGCCAGAATTGTCCTGAACGGTCAGCTGTCAATTCCACTTTGTTTGGCGTGGCTGGAAAATTGCCAAAGTAGAAAAATTGGCACGGAAAACCCAAACATCCGGAGATGATGTCTCAGTCCCGCCTTCTTAACGCAGGCGGGTGTGACTGGAGTGCTGCACACGGCTGGTGCCTGGAAGAGGCGTTGCCATGAGCCCCAACTGAAAAGACCGTCGCCACAAATCTTGGTTGATGTTTGTTGCCTCTTGTTTTGAATGCCTGTAAACCCTTGCCTTTCAACCTGAACGTTCTCACCTGGGCTTGGATTTTTGACACGTGCTGAACGTAATTGGTATCGGTATAGTGCAACTGTATCAAAGGCCGCCAAGTTCTATCAATCAAAGACTCCCATAGGTTCAGTGATTTGGTCATCCAGCCTGAGCTGTTTCAGCAGGTGGCCGCAGATGTTCTCGATGATCAGGAAGGGCCTGGTGGAAACCAGTAGCTTGGTTTATGTGTGCGGTCTGCGGATGGGCTGGCAATTGCTTTAGAGCTGGGTGAACTTCTTTGATTTTGACAAGTGGCCTGGAGACCCTTTTTTTGATCTAAAAAACGGGTCCCCAGGACACTTGTTAAAAGTGAACCCAAAGTGGAAAATACCAGGATGGACAGCCCTGATCACCATTCCACAGCCTTTCGTGGACATCATATTGCTACATGTTCGTCGATTGCAACTTTCCATGTTTATGAGGGCACTTGGGTCCATTTCAGGGCCTCCAATTTGGGAGCACTGGATAGGGGGCAAGCATAGGCAAGCCAATTCTTGTAGAACCCAGCGCCAGCCCGGGTCGAGCCTCATCAACTGGTGCAAGCGGCTTGCAAAGCTTCGGCTCTTGTGGGGCAACCTGCAAGCATTTTACTTAAATACGCAGGTGTCCCTCTGGTGCCCTTTTAGGGCAACTCAGGGCAACTATCAAAAGGCACCATGTTGTCAATGGTGTCGGCTTTGCCCCTTGAATTTTGAGGTTTCCTTGAATTTGAAACATCTTTACAACCAAGACGTGTCATATGCAAAGGCACTGGTGTCATTTATGTCTTGAGCTTGGATAGTGGTTGAATTTGCCTTGCTTCACTCTCAACCACACGCCTCAGAGATTCTGCCAGATGCCTGCGAAGGAGCACCGTCCACCTGCCAGCGACTTCAGGTATCCACAGATGTGACACTGAAACATCTCCCCAATGAATTAAGTGTTGAGTTTGTTGGGTCCCTGGAAGAAAGATCAGGTCTGTCCAGACCCAAAGGGCCAGCTAGCAGTTGACAACACAGGTGATATACCGGACATGGGCCACATGCAAGTTTTGGTGCAAACACTTACTCAATTTAAGCATAAGGTAAGGACAATATATATGTATAGGGAATATCCCAATCAGCTCAAACTCAGAGCCTTGTCCAGCTTCTTTGCTTGGCTGGAGTTCGCGGCAGAGGCGGCAAAGCCTCATGCGCGGTGTGAAGTCCGAAGGCCCTGGTGGTTTCAGAAAAGTCTTTAAACTTTAAACAAACATGTACTTCAAGGAACCTAATGGCAAGTCCACTGGCTCGTCCTCAGTTGCCTCCTCGCTCTCAGAACCCTCTTCCGTACATCCGTCTATGGGATCCTCCTCGTGCCTCTCTGGCAGCTTGATATTCAATTCGCGGATTAGGTCTCTGATCTCTACCTCTCGGGGGACGTGAGGCCTCCGACAAATATCATTGAATAAGCTCACGCACCTTCTCGCTGTCCAAGCTTGGGCCTCGATCGACTTACCTCGGGTCACCACATGGTGAACATTTGTTTGGGAAGGAGACGTTTAAAGTTTAATTTGCCGTGGGATTGTGAATGGGTTTGCTGCCACACTTGCAACTGAGGATCTATTGATAGGCACTTGGCAATACTCATAGAAACTCTCGATGTGAACCTCCATTGTTGGGATCGCAATCCTGTGACCCAAGTACTCAATCGCGATCTTCAGGAATTTGGCGTTGACCCTAACAGTGTCACGACATACTCGATTACCAGTTGCCTTCACCTAAGTTGGAGAGTGAGGATGCATGCGTGTGAAACAATGGAGGTCTGACAGTTACACCCTGAACCCTAAGCATCGACTTGAGGAAAGGACCAGGGAGTATGTTTTGGCTGCACGTCGAAGCTGTGTACATCGTTCCCAAGCTTTGGCCACAGCAGACACTCTCCTCTCTCTTTCTTCGTCAATCTCTTCCATGTGAGAAAAACAGCTACCAGGTTGAGGATTGCAAAGCGAGCCAAAAAGTCTCCTATGGAAAAGGCACTGGGTGCAAACATCGTGTTTTGTGCACAAAGAGCTATGCGGACCACTCAACCCATCACAGTCTGAAGATCCCTAACCGGGATCACGCCTGTGCTCATCCCAGGTATATATTTCCACGCAGCCTGGCATGGGGTCATTTATCAGCTCTGGGCAGCTGCTTGGAATCAAAGGATCTATCTAGAGAGCTTGTGTTGAAGAAGGCTGCCAAGCAAACAACTATACATGTGCAAGTCACATAGCCTTAAGTTTTGTCACAGGTTTGTAACCAAAATGTCTCAGCCTCAAAGCATCGGCATCACTTTGATCACCATCAGCCTGCCAGTGCAATCCAAGGATTGAATACTTTGCGGCGGTGCTGATGCGATGAAATGACAGATGTCCCACCCAGAGCGCCTGCTTGACGGGCTCCCATGCCCAAAAAAGCCAAGATGGCTGCGATATGGTCAAGATCCACCCTTCTGATGCATATAGACCAAAAACCAGTCGTTTAGGTTGTTTCAGTTGAGATGCTGAAAAAGTAGTGATATAGGGTTAAACACGAGAACTCCTGAAAATTTCCAGTCATTGGAAGATCCAGGTATATATACATATGGTTATATAAATATATTTGAATGGCATGTGATATTGGAACGTGTTTGTTTTTGCACGGGAGTGCAGGAGGCAGTCCTTCGGACTGATCCAGGCAGCGAAATGGTGGAGTTCGGGTGTCACCTCTCAGAACGGCCATGGATCGTGTTGCAGTAGGAGTTGTCCATGACTGTTTCCCGAGCCATCACCGACCCCAGGTGTTGGAACCTTGCGACTTCTGGAAGCGATCCGTACGGTGCCCTTGCGGCAGAACTAGGGATTTTTTCCGCCCACCGGCCGGTTCCCGGAGGGGTCGAGGAGGTCGACCGGGAAGTGCAGCGGTGGCGCAAGGTGGCCTTGGTAATTGCTGTAAATACGATGCTGTCATTCAAATTCAACTCTTCTTCCTTTGCGTTGATGGGGTGTGAGCTCAGAACGTTGTATTGTGGTGTGAGCTCAGCCCATGGTCGTTGACCAGTCCCTTATAGATTCTGAGGAGTTTGTGAGTGACAAATGGATCCTATAGTTGGGAATCATGCAGGCGTAGGTTAACGAGGTACAGGTTCTCGTTCATCAAGACTATGGAAGTGGTGGATGCTTGACTTGTCTATCACAGAGATGTGAAGCAATCTGTTGGACATTCCGAAGACCTAAATTCAAGATTCAAGACCTATGTTACATTCTCATGTTATTCTATGTTATATTCTTTGAATTTCCCACCTCACCATGCTTTGATTTGTTTGCACGTCATGACTTATATTGACCCTGTATATTATCCCTTGTATTATCCTTGTACTGTCTTTTGAATAGGTGTTGAAAATTAGTCAAACTATGGGAGACTATGTAGGTTCTCCGCCAAACGGAGATCTTAGCTAGATTTCAGAATGGGATCTTATGAAAAAGAACAATATTCAAGGATTTGGTGGGTGTAGAGTTTCAAGTGAGCTTCAAAAGGTTGAATCATTGTATAAATTATGCAAATCCAGTACTTGGACTTGGACCAAAAAGCTATAACTAATTGATTGATGTTTGAGTTTATCACTTGGGACAAGCACGCATTTTTGCAAGGTGGGCCTCGAGAAAACCACGCGCTTCTACCAAGCCAGCACATCAGAGCTCTATGGTATGGTTCAGGACAACCCAAATGGGACCGGGACGGACCATATGTTGGGTGAGTGTGGTTTCTGGTCAGGGGTAGGAGATGGTGGGGGGCGCCAAGAGGTTTTGGATGGTTTTGGTATGTATTTTTTCCTTTTGGGCAATCTCTACCTTACCCATCCTACCTTGACCTCCCCATAGCATGCGTTGTGGCTGGCCTGCGGACCTCGGCTAGGGCTTGAACTTTGGACTTTGCATGACTTTGCATATCACATGATACTTTACGTATCTAAGCATCAAGGACCCAGTTTCATTTGGCCAAGGTCCTGGTTACTTTGACTGTTTCTTCATGTTTCTTCTAATTTCAATATTGGAAGGATGCATCATCTCGGTCCATTGACAACGGACCTTTAGCTCTTCCACCCCGATCGAAGCACCCCCGATCGACCACCCTAGGAGGTGCCGCAGAAGGAAAGCACACCCTTCTACCCGCGATCGCCCTATGCCGTGGCCAAATTGTACGCCTACTGGATCGTGTGAAGCTTAGACACCAGCGGCCTACGGGGTGTACTGCGTCCGCGTTTGATGAACGGAAGACGGACGAAGCGTGGTGCGAGGCTGCCGGGTGGAGGAGAGGCAGCTGAGGCTTCTGCGAGAATGGAAGTCTTCTCCTGGTGGGTCATGAGGTCCGCATTCCGAGAGAAACGGTGTGGGTGGCCCCATGCCGAGGTGGTCAACTACCGGGAAGCCTACGAGATGCCACCCTGATGCAGACGATGCTTGCTGCGCCTTGCTGGGGGACAGGGGCTAATTACAGTATTACAGTACGTTCCTTTTGCCTCCTCATCCCCAAATTCCAACAAACGTGGGACGCTTCTTGATTGAGTGCTGCTATCAGCTTCATACACTCACACTCGCACCTGCTCCTACCACTCACAAGGCACTTGTGGAAAGTTTGTTTTAGGCTCCTTCAGGTCCTCAAGTTTCAGAGTGTGATCTCGATCAAGATTTGCTTTATCTTTTTGTGTTTCTTTTGTGAGGTGTTGTAGAAATGGTGCCATTTCATCATTGAATCACATCGTTTTGGGCCGATCGACCTGGGCCGACCGAACTGGCGGTTCATGGACGCGGCCCAGGTTTGCGGTCAACGGCATCTTGTTCAACCACGAGTCTCCCAGACGAGGAGGACTAGCTGGGCATCAGTGGAGAGACCATTGAGTAACACATACCTCACCCTCCTTTGACCCCGCAATATGTAGATGAGCAACCTGATTTATTTACGCAAAGGTATTTAGTAAAGGACCCGACATTGGGATTGCAGAATTTGCTTTTTACTTGGAAAACGGTAATACACTCATTAAAAAAAAAACATATTGATAGCATCATGTTTAATTATAGGAAAGCTTAGTTTGCATGGCTGCAGTATAGCTTTTTAACCATGAAGACCATCAGGGAACCTCGTTTCTGCTTAGTGTAGCCTTTCCCAAAGCCGTATTTGACTTCGGACTTTGGCGACAGGTTTGTCCGAAATGTAGCTGTAGTCAAACGATAACCTAAACGATAACCAAACGATAACGTAAATGTAGACGAACCTGTGCTACGAAACCAGTGCCCCACTTGTATCTGAAACATATCTTCCAAACAAGCTCAAGACATGGCTGGTCTACTAC